TTTTACAACTTTCAACTGGGAATGAAAACATTTCCGACTAACAATTTCACTCGTGATATATCACATGATCAAATCACGTGATACTAATATTCCAAAATGGTCGCCAAGGTTTGTACGATTATTTTGGCTCTCTTAATAAATGTTCACAGCAGCTTTCAAAACGGAAGTGCAGTGAATAAACTCAGGGTAAATGCAGCTATAGCTACACCATGGCCAATGCCACAAAGTTATTCATCGCAATCAATGACCAACAACGTTGATGCAGCCACATTTAAATTCAGTGTTGTAAATGAAGCGATCTTTTCTTGCACAGTGTTGCAAGAAGCCTTCAAAAGATACGAACCTCTGATATTTGGAAGACGTCCAGAAACGCTGTATTTTCATTCTCAAGCTCGTAGAAATGTTGGAGTATCTGGTGATATTGATGAATTGGTAGTACAACTTGGTAAACCTTGTAATGATGTGGATGCACCATCTTTACAATCCGATGAATCATGTAAGTTTATTTCAATCTATGGAGATAGAACGTTAAATTCCTAGTTTTAGGTATCTTTTATCCTTAGAACTGCCTTTTTATACATTTGATGCATATGCAGACGGTGAAGTCGTAAATTATAAATATCGGAATTTGAAATTTAAATATTGATTTTGTATATAAATTATAAATGTATATAAATTATAAATTATTCTCAGTGATCATTGCAGTGGCCATATTTACCATATATATGATTATCTTCAATATGTAGATCAAATTTTGAAGATATTATGTTATTTCTTATTGCAGATAAGATAAGTGATAATGTTATTTCTTACTGTAGATAAGTTAACTGATATTGTTATTTCTTATTGCAGATAAGTTAACCGTTCAAAATGGACAGGCAATGTTATCAGCTAACGAGTTATGGGGTGTTATCAGAGGTTTAGAAACATTCAGTCAGATTGTTTATCAAAGCCCTACTGGAGGGGTAAGCTACCAAAATGATATAAATTACAAAATTAAAACAATAATATAACTAGAGCCACACGTGGCACAGAGTGGGACTTTGCAAATGTAGCAAAATGCAAAAGATCCCGAAAAAATCAACCTTCCACGATAATTAGATCAAGCGCAAGAACAGTCTAAAGTTGAGAAATTTTCCATTTTTTAGAAGATTTTAATACCGGAAGTGGACGTCAGACCTCACAAATGAAAGTATCAGCAGATAGCCGAGGTCAATGACCTTTGAACTTGTAAAGGAGAAGGCCTAAAAAGGTCAAGATCAAGAGATATACGCCATTAAAATTTCAAATTGCTAACGACTATAAAACC